GTACTTAGAATTAGAAAGGAAGTTAAATTATTAATTTTTAAAAGATGACATCATAAAATCCTGAAAAATAATATTAATAATTAACTATCTGACAAACTTTTTCTAAACTTTTGGCTGCATATCCTTTGATTGTCTCTTCATGTGACAGCTATTTGGCACTATCAGCTGCTGTATAGACAATAGAAAGATAATTGTTTCCTATGGCAGTTTCAGTAGAACTTAGTTTTTAATCATCGATGCTTGTGATGCATAAAGCATGCAACTTTACGTACAGAATACAGACACACGGTGCACATAACCTGCAAACAGAAAGATTCCGATTAACGCTATTTTTTGATCTTCTCATAAAAAAAGAAAAACTGTGTGGAGAATTGATAAGTATATATGCTGAACTGCGTATATTCTTGACAGGAGAGAATTTCTGTTTTGACTAGATGTCAATGAGAATTGAATCCTACACTTGAAATTTTATATATCTGATGATTAGAAAACTTTCCCAACTAGCTTCTGGCTTCTCTACTATCCGGATATTTCTGATGCTGGCCATTGTAGGGCATGGTTACATTGCAGTGTGTCCTTTGGTCCTGTACCTTCATGATGTCTTGCTTGGTGAGGTGGTACCAAGGGTGGAAGCAGTATTCCTGGAAAACGTTCCTACACCGGGAGAGCTAGCAGTAATGTACCTTTACAGGGAAGTCTCTGCAAACCATATAAATATATCCCACTGCACCCAAAGAATATGAACCCCAATTCAACTTCCTGTTAGTTGGTCCTCCAAAATTCATGTAAATCTTCCAAAGCCACTCAACAGAAAGGGAAGTTAAAAAAGACAGGGTCTTAGCTAGTTGCCATTAAAACATTTACTTTAGTCAATTTTACAAAAATGTATGATGCTCCTCACATATTACTAGGGCCGCTCTCAGGACCATGGAAGGGGCCTGCACGAGGGAGGACCTGCAACTTCAGCTTCGTTCCCTGGACAGCAAATTTCTGCCGGGAAGGATCAAAAAGAAGCAGATTGGAGATTGTCTTTCCTCTTATGTTTTTATCAATTCAGCATGTTTCAATTTTTGACTAGAAAAATTAATGTTCTCAATATATCTAAATTTTCCCTTTCCATGCAGGATTATTGATACCAGATGTATCCATTACCTTATGTTGGGCTGGCAGCAATTCCTGTTGTAATGATTTGTACAAAAATCTCTCCCTTCCTTCCCTGTTCTTCATTTTATTTATTTATTTATTTGCAGAGTTGTAGGCTGGAGTATTTTGTTTTTTGTGGTTCATTAATGCAGGTAGGGAGTATGGTGGAGATACCAGAGCCCTCATGACTTACAGAATAGGCCACTACGCCATGCATCAGAGGATCTGAGTTCTAATCCCCACGTGGCTTCTAATTCACTGTGTAACTTGAAAGGGGCTACCTCCCCTTTGTGGCTTTGAGTTCCTCTGTTAGTCAGGAAAATCAGTGGTTTCTAGGACTCCTGGGTTCTACAGAGGTGACTCCAGGGTGGCCGGGTCCTTATTCCTGCCTTAAGCAGAGGGGCTCTGCATTTTTACTGTTTTTCCTTTTTTTAAAAAAATAAATATTGACCCTGAGCTAACATCTGTTGCCAATCTTTCTCTGTTTTTTTTTTCCTCCCCAAAGTCCCAGTACATAGTCATATATCTTAGGTATAGGTCATTCTAGTTCTTCTATATGGGATGCCACCACAGCATGGCTTGACAAGTGATGTGTAGGTCTACACCCAGGAACTGAACCAGCGAACTCTGGGCTGCTGAAGTGGAGCACACAAACTTAAGCACTCGGCACGGGGCTAGCCCCCTAGGGAGCTTTTTAACAATTGGATTCTACTGCATAGTCAGGGTTAAGAGAGATTATTCTAGAGTAGTCCTATGCAACCTTGTCGACACTTTAGGATTATCTGGCAACCTTCTTAAAAATGCTGATGCCTGGGTCCTACCTTGTGGTTATTATTTAACTGACCTGAATATAGATGGTTTTAAAAGCTCCACAGGTGTCTCTGTGCACACAAGATTGAGAACCCAACCCCTACTAGAGATAATCATTGCATTCTGTCAAGTTCTAACAATCTGTACATGAAAAAAAAGTGTGATATCCATATCCCCAGCCTTTTATAAATATTATTGAACATGTCATTTCTGTTTTATAGCTAAGTTATGTAACGCCACCTTTGGTTGGGGCAAATGTCAGAAGGCAACTGGTATGGTGGCCCTATCTCTAGTTTCTGTACACTCACTTGTGAAGAGTTTCTCACTGTTCATTATGCCTACAAGAGTCAAAGCCTGTTATCCTTGTCCTTGCCCTGCCCCAAACTCGGGACCTGTGCACAAGTGGGTCAACTTCTTTATGCTTAAATCAGTTCATTCACAAAATTAGTTAGATTGGAATCAAAAGAACTTGCAGATATGATTCTACAATTCTGTGATCATTTCCTTAACTTACAGAATATGATTCAATGGAAAGTCATAGATTAATTTCCTTCAGACTTATAAGAGATTCTTTTCCCTTTTAATTGATCTTGGTGTGTAAAAAGGCCAGGGAGCTAAGAATTTCTTGTGTCCCCATGTTGTTACAACACAGCCTTGATCTACAGAGGAATTATAAGGAGCTGAGTAGTAAAACTGAAATTTTCTTATAACATAAAGCGCACTGATTGGCTGGGAACCCTGTGCTTTTGGAGCCTAAGTGAAAATTTGCAAGGAAACAAATAAGAACTTGCCCATGTGTTTGGCTTGGACTCTTGCACACCACCAGACAGCAGCAGAGCTCGTGGTAGACGAGAAATCATTCATTCACTTATCATTTATGCATTCATTGTTTTCACTCATTTATTGCACACACATATATTTAAACATATACTCATATGAGAAACTGATTTTGGCTCTGATTTGTGGTGGGAATGAGACAGATGTCATGCAGGCCTTCACTGAGCATTTTAGTTGACCATACATAAGAATTCACTTGTCTTTTCAAGTGGAATTCCATTGATGCCCAAAGGCTGTGTGTTCTCTGGGGGATTTTTAGATTTTATGTGTACATTTAAATGATTATCTAAAAACTATAAACTAATCATATTCTGAACCATCTGGAAGATGACCTAATAACCAAAGATGTGACTTTAGGGCCCACATTTTGTCACTATGATCACTTTGGCACCACATATCAGTAATTTAATTGCTATTGCCTAAGAAGAAAATAGCAGATGCGGGCCTTATTGTTAGGGAATGTGGTATGCCTACACAAGGGATGAATGAAATAAAAATCCCAAAATAAATGTCGCGCAGTAATCTGAATGGGGAAAGGCAGTAGGGGCTGTGATGTCACATGGCTCGTGGCAGAGTAGGGATGATAGACTCAGAAGATGCTGTGCTAAAGCCCTTGGTACCACGTTATGCAGTTTAGTTTTAGCAAATCGTCATCCTTTGTGGTAGTCAATCATTTCCCTTCTTTTGGGGGGGGTCATGTATCATAATGTTTTTTATTGAGGTATAATTGATTTATAACATTATGTTAGTTTCAGGTGTATGACATAATGATTCGATATTTGTATATATTGCAAAATGGCGACCACAATGTCTAGTTAACATCTGCCACTATATATAGTTAAAAAATTTTTTTCTTATGATGAAAATTTTTAAGATCTACTCTCTTAGCAACTTTCAAACATGCAATACAGTACTATCAACTGTAGTCACCATGCTGTACATTACATCCTCATGACTGGCTTCTTTTATAACTGGAAGCTTGTACCTTTTGACCCCCTGCATCCATTTCACCCGCCCCCCACCCCATCCCTCATTTCTGGCAGCCACCAATCTGTTCTCTGTATCTGTGAGCTTGGTTTGGTTTTTTGTTGTTGTTTTGCTTTTTTTTTTAGATTCCACAATGAGTGAGATCATACGGTATTTATCTTTCTCCGTCTGACTTACTTCATTTAGCAAAATGCCCTCAAGGTCCATCCATGCTATAACAGTTAATTTCCCATTTTAAATGATACACATTGGTGGTTTTGTTTGTATTTAATTTTAAAATTTGTTTTGGTTTTTGAATTTTATAGAAGTTATAAGTTTACTTAGATTTGTGTTGGTATCTAGTTAGTAGTACTAGTATAAAGATAATTTGTGTCAACAGTGGGGTTTGGGATGGCTTCCTGACTTTAAAGGGGATTGGGCATATTATTTAATATTAACAAATATTTTTCTAGTTTATTTCATTCTACTGTAATCAGTATTTAACTAGTTCATTCCTCCCATTAACCTGCAAACTCCTGAAAGATATGCTCATACCTTACTTGACTTTGAAACTCCTTTATGTTTATTAAATAAATGAGTTGATTGACAACAATTAGAATTGTGAAATCATAAAGAATAACTCAGAGAGTAGTGAGGTCTCTGTCAAGGGAGGTATTTAAGCATAGGTTATCACTTGTTGAAGACTCCTGAGGCTTAATCTATGTGCCCATCAAGAGCCCCCAAAAATGTTACTTTTGACACTGTAGGCAACGTAGAATGATTGCATTTGAGATTATTTTAACCTACAAATAAATTGCCTGAATAGTAGTATTATAGCACCAAGACGAACTGCTGAGGTCAATTTATTTTCTCAGACTAATTCTAAATTATACCAGCAGGACTTTGACATATCTCTTAGTGTCTCCCTCACAAAGATGTTGGAATTCTAAGAATCATTTTGAAAATGGCTTCCTAGGAGTCCCTTTCCTCCTGTGCCATGTCTATATGTGGATGTCTCCGTACACATCATGAAAGATGGTTGCGTAGAAGGAGATGGCTACAGCAAGCATCCGGAGGAGCCACTTATGTCCACAGAACAGATTTTTAAAGTCGTCAGGAGGGTGGAAACCTACAGACAGCAGCCAGCCATATCTCTCCATCAGTTGATTTTTTTCCATTCTTTTTTTTTTTCTCTCTCTCAGCAGTTTAATGTGAGCGCTTCTCTCTCGCCTCGTTTATTTCAGATGCCTCAGGAACAGTACACACACCACCGGAGCACCATGCCCAGCTCCGAGGGCCCACAGGTATACAAAGTGGGAATTTATGGCTGGCGGAAAAGATGCCTGTATTTCTTTGTCCTACTCCTGATGATTTTAATACTGGTGAACTTGGCCATGACCATCTGGATTCTCAAAGTCATGAACTTCACAATTGTAAGTAAAACCACACAGGTTTCTTTAGCTCTCTTTGGGGGAAGGGAAAACGTGGGGCAAGAAGAAGGAATGTGGAAAAGTGATGGTAGTAGGATTCAAAATACCCCACAACCTGGTTCTAAACCATTTCTGTTCAGGTGACGTGGGGATTGACTTACATCTAATCTCAATTCTTCAGAGGCTGCTCATCCAATTTGGAGGCATTTCCCTCCTTTACGATCTCTTGTATGCTTTCCCTTCATCTTGATAACTATTTTTGTAGCCTGCAGTTTACAAACACTTTGAGTAAATAATAAGGAGTAAACACGAGATAAATCCAAGGCATTAAGTTTTCCCAGATTTTAGTAGTGATTATGAAAAGTTTTGTGAGGTAGTAGATTGAAACATCTAAGTAAAACAAGGCTTTGGGGATTATCCAGGAATTTTAACTATCTTTACACACCTGGTAGCCCATTACTATGGTTAATTACGAGTCTCCTCAATTTTTAGGATGGCAATTCTCTTTGCCACTGCATGGGTGGGACGGAAATGAGAGGAGGGTAGCCATGTTTTGTATTTGAAGAGTTTGTGTTTATGCCTCTTTGAAGAAATTCTTGCTGTTGGTACTTAGGGCCACTATACAGACTGAATATTTACTTGTTGAAATTCAAATGAAAGAAAATCCTGGCAAAATGACTTCTGGAGTTATTCTGAAGTTTCTTCATAGAGATTCTGGTCTACACTAGCAATATAAGTAATTTCAGTTATTATTGAGGTCATAATGGGCAGTAATTTGCTGCCCTGAGAATACTTTCTTGTTCTGTTGTCAGAAGTAAGCAATTAGATTGGCAATAAAAATAAATCCTGTTTGGGGCCAAGCCAGTGTCATAGTGGTTAAGTTTACATGCTCCACTTTGGCAACCCAGGATTCACGGGTTCGGATCCCAGGCATGGACGTACACCCCACTTATCAAGCCATGCTGTGGCGGTATCCCACATACTAAATAGAGGAAGATTGGTACAGATGTTAGCCAAGGGACAATCTTCCTCAAGCAAAAAGAGGAAGATTGACAGTAGATTTTAGCTCGGGGCCAATCTCCTTCACCAAAATAAATAAATAAATAAATAAATAAATCCTGTTTGATAAAGAAATGTGACTATGACCAATTAACAGTAAGATTTTTGTGTGAAAATACCAAATATGATAGTGGCTATTTGCCTTTTATGAATTATAAAGTTCATTTTGTCCTTAACACACTACACATAGTCACACTTCCTTGTCTTGCCTTGGGCCATTTTTTCAGCTTGGGCTGCTTTTCTCAGTCTTCCCTGCCTGGTACAACTCCTCCTTGATGCTTCTGTAACTCCATTTCTGTATGTGTTATTCTACTTATCACTCTAGATAGTTTTTATGTGTGTTTCCCAGGCAGACTGAACTTTAAGAAGAGCGAGGGCTGAATCTTCTCTCTGTGCCTTAGTTCCTCACTCATGGGAGAGGATATTGGTGTGTGGCTTAATTAGGAATCTATAAACCGAGATTAGAGATGCTGCCTCAGGCATCAGGATGGCTCACTTTATAATACTTTTAAAGTTAGGAAACTAATCAAAAATTACCTTTATTTTACAGATCACTTTCTTGAAGAAAAATAGTTCATTTCTTTTGAAAAATATGGAAAACTTCCATATTGCAATATTTAGTTTGGAAGATGATAGAGGTCAGTTTCCATGGGATTGTAGAGGTCTAAGGTAATATGTTCTAGAATATGGGAGCACATTAGCTGCTGTTTCTGAATCAGACTCAGTAAACACCTTTTGAACTTGGACTCACTTTCTTTAGACACAAGCAGAATTCAGAGAAGTGTTTTAAGCAGAAGAGAAAGATGTGATTGGATTTGTAGTCTAGAAGCTTGCTCAGGTGAGGATGCAATAGAATGCAGAAAGCTGCTCAGAGCTTAGGGCTTTAAAGGATATCCTGGATCCATTGGAATTAAGTCTAAGTAACCACAATTGCCATCTGTTGATATGCATGTCATATGATGTTTTTATTTTGTATTTCACAAACTTGTAAAGTGGAAGTGCTTCTGTATTGCAATATTAAGTAAGAGAAGGCTGAAGCTTGGGCAGTAGACTGGAGGATAAAGATTCAAAGGACATTTAAAAGATGGAATTGACACACATCAACTACTGGTTGGATGTTGGAGTTGAGGGGTTGGAAGACATTCTGGAACAATCCCAGGTTCTGGCTGGTGAGACCATTGGCTTGTGGGGCCCAAAAAGCAAGATAGAATTAAGTACCTTTCCACTGGAACTTGTGTGTCTCCCTAGTCCCCTATTTGGGGCTATTTTTGTGATTTTTACCTAGTCTGCATGAAGCTAATTTATAGAACCTGAAAGAATTGGGAGCTAATGTAGTAGAGTTTATGAACTCAAACCTTGATAACTGTGATATTCAAATCTCTCTTCTACGCTGTGTTTTATCTGGCAAGCTTAATAGAGGCAGATGTAAATGTATATTGAGTGACAGTTCACTCTGAGTGTATGCGAGCTTAGGGAGCAATATGACATTAAGGTAATAATCTATATGAAATAGGCTATTTCTTATAGTTAACTAAATTGATTGCCAAACTTGAGAGTTCTTAAGGCTTTACTAAACCAAGTACTTACTGAGGTGAGAATAATGCCATTATTAGCAATAATTGGTGCTTTATAACAGTAATGCATTGGAGCAAATAAGAGCTGAAGTGTCAGGAAATTGGTCTTTCCCTTCAAGTTAAAAGCATATTTTTCCATCATCACAGTATAAAACATATTCTTTTAGAATTATAATTCTATTCCACAAATAATAATTTACGAATAGTGAGGATCTTGCAAAAGAATGAGGTATTAACCAATGTTATATTGGAGAATGTGTGTGAGAGAGCAAAGGGAGTCAATGAGGTAAGAGTTAAGCATCTTATGCATAGATGTGAAAATACTGTCAATAGGAAAGAGTGATTATTTTGCACATGTGGAATATTCAGTAATTTGCAATTTGGAAAAGCTCACACTATAATCAAACCCTCTGAGTAATAACAAAACAGGAGAATGATGTCATCAAAATGTTTCTGAGGAGTTGGCATTTTACCTAAGATTGGATATCCAGAACTTTACCTTGTGATCAGACTTGCATTCTGCACCATCCTTCAAGGATAGATGCTGGAAGAGCCCTTCTAGGATAGCAATCTGGACAAACATCCAAGCAAGTTTTCTTTGTCCCAGATCTAAATCAGAAGAAAACTTATTTTTCTCTCCTCTGCTCCCAGCAGAATATTTTGGTGTTCATTACTGGGCAGGAGAGCAAGGTTACACCTTTCTCCTCAATTTTTCCCTTCATGGAGGGTTTTGTAGTTTACCTATACTGTAAACACCCGTAAGTAGACCTGTCCTAGTTAATCACACACTGTGCTGTACAGGGGAGCTAATATTTACTACATGTCTGTTCTATGCTAGTCACTGTGCTTGGCCCTTAAAATATCTCTCATTTAATTTTCAAAACAACTCTACAAATTAGGTATTATTATCTCCATTTTAATAAAAGAAAACCCAAGTCTCAGAGAAGTTGAATGATTTGCTGAAAGACACACAGCTAGTAAAAGAGCTGGTGTTTGACTTCAAAGCCCAATCTTTCCCACTATGCTGTACCTCCTTCTCCTACTTCCTACAATGATCTGGCTCGTCAACAAAATGATTGAAGCCAGCAAAATGCTTCATTATCTCTGTGGCCCATCCTGTGTCATCTGATCTCAGATTTCCCTCCCATCTGAGGTCTCCACTGACATTCTGCCTAGAGTAGTTCCTGGGAGTTCTCAATGTTCAGTCTTTATCTCACTTCTCTTTGCACTGTAGCTGATGGCTCTCTCTCTCTCCACTCTCTGTTTCATTCCCTTGCATTAACATAAACATTTAATCTAAATGTAATAATAGTATCTATGTCATAGGTTGGCGGGAGGACTCAGTGCATTAATTCATGCTAAACATTTATAGCAGCCTCTACCCTATAGGAAGTCTCAGTGTTGGCAGCAGAAAGTCACAAGAGACCCTACCCCACAATGTTGTAGTTAAGGGCTCAGACTCTGCAGACAGATGTTCGAGGTACAAATCTGGGTCCTGCTACTTACTGTTTGACAAGTTTCTTAACCCCTCTGTGCTGTGGTTTCCTGGGAGTAATAGAAATACCTACCTATTCAATGGATTGTTGTGAAGAGTAAGTGAGGTGAGGAGTGTCAAGTGCTCAGAATGGAGCCTGGCCTGTAGTATGTGCTTTGCATTAATGTTCGCTATCATCATCATCATCATTTATTGAAGGCTCATTCTGTGCCAGGCACTATGCTGTTGCAACTCAAAAGTATTATTTAACTTAATCCCTACGTGAGTAGGTACTATTTTGATACTAACTTCACAAGGGAGGAGAGAGGCTCCGGAACTTGATTTGCTAACACACAGCATAAAGTTGCAGAGTAGAGATCTGAATCCAAGCAGTCTGACTCTGGAGTTTGGTCTATTAGTCAGTTGAATGTGTAGTGGGACGGTACAAAAAGCCCTAGAATGAGTGTCAGGGACCTGGACGCCTTCTAACTCTGGGACTCAAGATAGAAATGAACTCATTGAACAAGCCCTCTTTAAGGCTGTAAGACCCCTTCCTGTTGGAACACTCTGGTTTTGTATTTTGGTCTTTTCCTTGGGGGTGTGAGATCTTACTCTGTAGAGGGCTGCTGCTCTGTCAGCGTAGTCTAGTAGCCCAGTCCAAACAACCTGGCCTGAAAGACCTCCTGAAATGCTGCAGTACTGATCATCGACACTGTCATTTAGCACAAGTGGTTACCAAGTAGCAAAACTTAAAAGGCTCGGGGATTATCACTAAATGGCATGATCTCTTAGCCCAGTGAGTGTAAATCATTCATTGTTAGACGAAATAGGAACCCCAGGAATGACCTCATCAGACATCCTCATTTCGCAGAGGATGGAAAAAAGTGGATGGCGAG